TTAATAATACATAGCTGTCCTGATTCTTTCTGGCTTTTTTATTATTTTGATGTTTTCTGGATCACCCCATCCTGGTGAATAGGATAGTTCTGGTGGAGAATATTCCAGAAGACCTCTCCCTTTCTGACAATGGTACGACCGGCCTCCCCCTCGTGGCTGGCCTGCACTCCCTGTTGGACCGAGCCAGTAGGTCAGTGGAGATTGTTTCTTCTGATTGGGCACTAAATTCCAGCGATGGGTCCAGTCCTTCTTCAGACAAACAGGTAAGCTCATTCGGTGTGTGATTTATTGTGTTGGTCCAGCCTTGATCCACAAATCAGCATTTTTCTGTGAATTGAGGTGAATTGCCAGAGTGAAGAGGAGCAAACAAAATGAGAGAGACTGACTAAGCGAGAGAGAGAGAGAGAGAGCAAGTGAGAGAATGTTTGATAAATGTAATTACAAAGTGGATATATGAGATAAAGTTTTGATAGATGAATGTCAAGGCAAAACAATCCATATCAGCATCACAGTCGTAAAAACATTAAAAAAATAAAGCTTGAATGGTTCTGAGTCACCAGCTGTTTTTGTGGATGTGGATTTACTGTAAGACCAAGTCTGTTTGAATGAATTGATTCTTTTTCAATTGTTAACAAACTCATGCACTTGGAAGTCATTTAAAAGCATCTGCTGAATGAGTGAGATATAAATGTAGATGTGGCTGTGTTTTAGTTGATTGGAGTGTAGCTGTGTTTTCTCTAGGGGCAGCTCCTGTTGCACCGCCTCCTCAAACTGAAATCTCGGCAGGTGGAGCTGAAGGTGGCCAGCGGCCTGGTAGAGTCTGCAGACCTGAAGGCTCTTTCTGATAACAGTAAGTGACACCTTTGTCTGAGTTTACCTTTAGCTGATCTTACCTGTGTCTGCATCAGATCCCACCTTTATTTTTAGTCATACCGGAACTCTGTATGTGACCACAAGATTTTTGACCCCCCTTGTTTTTCATGGTTCAGGATGTGAGCGCAGTTCCATTCGCTATGACACTGTGGATGATTCTGTGCGTTCAGCAATTTAAGGAAGGCCCACTTTTGTTTGGGCGTAACTTTAACCCTACGCACAAGGCGAGGTGCTTGTTCTTTTTTGGGTTTTTTTTTTGCGGTCAGTGTAGAAGAACTTTTTGGGCCGGCACAGAGCCCTGAGCTGAGCCCCATCGAACACCAATGGCAAAGACTCATTACTAGTTCTCTTCACTGCCCAACCTCACTGAGGCTTTTCTAGTTTGAATGCAATATTGTATCATCTCGTGGAAAGCCTACTCCAAAGAGCGGAGCCTGGAGAGCCTACTCCAAAGAGTGGAGCCTGTTATAGCCCTAAAAGTGACACCACCTCAATATTCATTGACATTGTTTCGGAGCTGTATTTTGTATAAGCAGACGTTCACATAAATTTTATCATGTGATGTACGTACATGTCCTTACCTGTTCCTGATCTTACCTTCACCTGATTACCATATGACCTGCATGTGCAATACAATGACTGAAGCATTCAGGATGGATGCGTTCATTTAGATTGCACAGCAGTATTTAAATTGCTGTTTTTTGCGTTTATGCTGATGTGAGCTTGTGTTTATCAAACCTGGGGCTATTTAAATTTAACTGCTGCTTCAATTTAATTATAACTGCTTATTATCATCAGTCTATACATAAGCATCAATTTCTGGATATGAAAAGCCTAATTTATTTTCTTTTTAACCCCTTTAACTATAGGGAAAGGAGAAATGTGTGGGTAGTTAATCACAATTTAGAAATAGCTAAAATTTGATTCTTTCCCAGTGCAAAACCACTTAGAACAGATGGTTTTTTATGGTTTGGAAATGCAACCCTACCAACTGAACTAATACTGTTTCCATTAAATCCTAACCATTTGGGTTCATTTCAAACTACTGAGTAATAAAAGTTTGAAATCAGATCACCATGTCCCTCCGCATAAATTATGTGGCTCCTGCAAGCTTGTTTTAGGATATTTGGATGCTCACACTGAGTCATAGGACTGACGGTTACTGATGATGATAACACTGTCCGATATTTATGTACATGTTTTCCCCTCATATCATTCCTGCAGCTTTCATTTGAAGGGAACAGAATGTGCTGCTCTGTCATGCTGCTCTTTTATAGATAATATTTTACTGAGTTCAAAGTTATGAATGTGCTTATGTTCCAGAATATGACTTATTGAGTGTTCCATGGCCACTTCTTAGTCTGTTATCTGTTCTAACCTGTATAGATGTCACAATTACCTGTTCTAACCTGGGGTCCATTTCCCAACTTAGATTGTTTGAATCCTGCACAGTTGGACATAGTTGGTGACATAGTTAGCAACTAAGTTTTTTTTTTTAAAATATACCCCTGTATAGGTGTCTCACGGTCCTGTTCTTACATGTGAAGGTGTACCTTAGTTACCTGTTATTACCTGTAAAGGTGTGCCACAGTTACCTGTTATTACCTGTAATGGTATGCCTGAGTTACCTGTTATTACCTGTAAAGGTGTGCCTGAGTTACCTGTTATTACCTGTAAAGGTGTGCCACAGTTACCTGTTATTACCTGTGGAGGTGTGCCACAGTTACCTGTTATTACCTGTAAAGGTGTGCCACAATTACTTGCTATTACCTGTTAAGGTGTGCTTCAGTTACCTGTTATTACCTGTAAAGATGTGCCACAGTTACTTGTTATTACCTGTTAAGGTGTGCTTCAGTTACCTGTTATTACCTGTAAAGGTTTGCCAATGCTACCTGTTATTAGCTGTAAAGGTGTGTCACAGCTACCTGTTATTACCTGTAAAGGTTTGCCTCAGTTACCTGTTATTACTTGTAAAGGTGTGCCTCAGTTACTTGTTATTACCTCTTAAGGTATACCTTAGTTCCCTGTTATTACCTGTAAAGGTGTGCCACAGTTACCTGTTATTACTTGTAAAGGTGTGCCACAGTTACTAGTTACTACCTGTTAAGGTATGCCTTAGTTACCTGTTATTATCCATAAAGGTGTGTCACAGTTACCTGTTATTACCTGTAAAGGTTTGCCTCAGTTACCTGTTATTACCTGTTAAGGTGTGCTTCAGTTACCTTTTATTACCTGTAAAGGTGTGCCTCAGTTACCTGTTATTACCTGTAAAGGTGTGCCACATCTACCTGTTATTATCTGTAAAGGTGTGCCACAGTTACTTGTTATTACCTGTTAAGGTATGCCTAGTTCCCTGTTATTACCCGTAAGGGTGTGCCACAGTTACCTGTTATTACCTGTAAAGGTGTGCCACAGTTACCTCTTATTACCTGTAATGGTATGCCTGAGTTACCTGTTATTACTTGTAAAGGTGTGCCACAGTTACCTGTTATTACCTGTGAAGGTGTCCCACAGTTACCTGTTATAACCTGTAAAGGTTTGCCACAGTTACTTGTTATTACCTGTTAAGGTGTGCTTCAGTTACCTGTTATTACCTGTAAAGGTGTGCCACAGTTACCTGTTATTACCTGTAGAGGTGTGCCACAGTTACTTGTTACCATCTGTTAAGGTATGCCTTAGTTACCTGTTATTACCTGTAAAGGTGTGCCACAGTTACCTGTTATTACTTGTAAAGGTGTGCCACAGTTACTTGTTACTACCTGTTAAGGTATGCCTTAGTTACCTGTTATTACCCGTAAAGGTGTGCCACAGTTACCTGTTATTACCTGTAAAGGTTTGCCTCAGTTACCTGTTATTACCTGTAAAGGTTTGCTTCAGTTACCTTTTATTAACTGTAAAGGTATGCCTCAGTTACCTGTTATTACCTGTAAAGGTGTGCCACATCTACCTGTTATCACCTGTAAAGGTATGCCTTAGTTACCTGTTATTACCCGTAAGGGTGTGCCACAGTTACCTGTTATTACCTGTAAAGGTTTGCCTCAGTTACTGGTTATTACCTGTTAAAGTATGCCTTAGTTACCTGTTATTACCCGTAAAGGTGTGCCACAATTACCTGTTATTACCTGTAGAGGTGTGCCACAGTTACTTGTTTCTACCTCTTAAGGTATGCCTTAGTTACCTGTTAATACTCGTAAAGGTGTGCCACAGTTACCTTTTATTACCTGTAAAGGGTTGCCTCAGTTACCTGTTATTACCTGTAAAGGGGTGCCTCAGTTACCTGTTATTACCTGTGAAGGTGTACCTCAGTTACCTGTTATTACTTGTTAAGTTGTGCCCCAGTTACCTGTTATTACCTATAGCAGTGACAGCTGATGAAATGAAAATTGATAAGGCACAGAATATTTCTTGAAAATAATGTTTGGGCTTGACCTGTGTTCAAACATTTATTTAAAATGACATTATGGGATCCTCAGATTTAGCCCATTCTCCTCATTGAGGTAAGACGAGAACTAATAAGTCTTGATCTGTTTCCAATAATTTTCCTTGATGAGCAAGTTTTCTAATGATTAGAATAAGCCATCGGCAGTTAAACACACAGCTTCCTTTTAAATTCAATGTTGCATCGATTAAATAGAAACTGTTTTAGTTAATTAAAAAAAAAAGATAATCTGCTGTGTTAACTTCCATCTTTGCTTTTGAGCACATACTGTAATATCTAATCTTAGATTTGTGATTGTTTAATTTCAAAAAATAAGCAAAAATTGGCAAAAAAAAAATGTTTGCAAATTAATAACACTGATTATATTGCAATTTTGTGTCAAAATGATACATTTTCTTGTGTTACCAATGCAAGGACAACTGGCCACATCTGATAATATTGAGAGTCTTTTGGAACTTATGTTATGTTAACTTAAATGAATGATTGAGAACAGGTCAAGACCAATCATTGTTTTCAAGGGATGTTCTGTGTTTCACCAATTTTTAACTCACCCAATCGCCACTGCTGTAAAGGTGAGCCTCAGTTGCCTGTTCTTTCGTGTAAAGGTGTGACTTAGTTGCCTGTTCAAACCTTTATTGTTGTCTCAGTGTTCTGTACTTACCTGTAAAGGTGCACCTCACCTTTGGCTGCTGGGTTAGCTCACTTGGTTAAGGCGCTGCATTTGAAGAGCAGTAGTGACTACCAAGGCGCGGGTTCGATCCCCGGTCGTACCAACCGGCAGTGGTCGGCAGCTTTTTCAGAATAGCGCACAATTGGCAAAAGCGATGTGGGAATGCAAATTGGGAAGGGACTGCCGGGAAGGGATATTAAAAATGGTTGCCCTGTTCGTTCAAGTGCCTCCTGTTGGCCAGTTGGGCGCTCGTCAGTGAGATTCTAAGCTTGCTCATATTCGGGTATCCTGTGCCCTCACTCTGAACTTGCGGTGGTTTCGACCAATGAGTGTTAAAGATGCAGGGGCTGACAGGCGTGTGCTTCAGAGGAAAGCCGCGAACTGTCTTCACTCTCCTGAGCTGGCAACAGGGGGTTGCATACAAGCAAGCCTTGTACAGGATTGGGCATTCCAGATTCGGGCGGGATTTGAGATGCCAAATCAAATAAAAAAAACAAAACAATTAAATATTATATATTAACCTTTATACATGTCTCAGTTACCAGTTTTTACCTGTGCAAGTGTCTCAGTTACCTGTTCTTACCTAAATTAGTACGTCTCAGGACTATAAAGGACTTGGAGGTGTGTCTCGGTCACCTGTGCTTACCTCTACAGGTGTGGAGGTGCGTTACCTGAACATGACAGCTCTGACCAGAGGCCAGTTCCACTCCTCGTTCTGGGTGGTGGACAGGAAGCACGTATACATCGGGAGTGGGGGCATGGACTGGCGTTCGCTATCTAAGGTATGCCCATTAAACCACTTACACCCCAATACAATACTATCCTTTTCCGCACACCTACATTATAAACCCCAACATGCTCCTCTGGTGCAGGAAAGAAGACAGTTTAACTGTGGAGCAAATAGAAGCAGTGCTGATGAGCGCTAACACTAAAAGTGCCACCAGCAAGAGAGGAGGGGTACACTTGGAGAGGAAGCAGGAAAAAACACAAGGCAAGGGAAATGCTAATTAGTCTAAACAGTGCAAAATATACTGCAGCTGATTAATACAGGGAGTTAAATTGATGACTAAATGAGTGAAAAACAAAATAATGCGTAATGAAAAAATTTCTTACATTTTTTGACATTTAAAGGTCATATAAAGCTACAATAGGAGCCATCTTCAACAGTTTTCTGCATTGAATCCAAATGCAGAGCAAGAAAAGAGGCGTCTGTGTGAAGTCTTCAGTGATATGGTGTCTTCTCTAGGCTGACAGGTCAACTATAGTGCAGGTCTGCTTATTACACCTTCAGAGAACAGATGTAACTAATCTACGGGGTGTAAACTACAAAGAACAGACAGACAAAATTTCTCTGCTGTCTGTCGCTCCCTTTGAAATGTCTGCTGATAATCTCCTTTTGATTTAGCTTCAGTGAAACGAGTCCAGCAGGAGAGAGAGAGGAGAGTGAGCAAAGGAAGATGATGGGATAGAGAGAGGGAAGATGAGAGAGGAGAGACAGAGATGAGGAGAGATGGAGGGAGAGTGTGAAGACAGAAGGAGACAGCAGAAGAGAGAACGAGGACATGAAAATGAGAGGGGAAGCGGTAGGGAAGAAAAATAGAGAGATGGGAGGATGAGAAAAATGGAGAGAGTTGTAAAGTGAACAAAAAGGAAGATGAAAGGGGGAAAGAGTGGAAACTATGGTGGGAGAGACAGTGATGAATGTGTACAGAAAGAAAGATGTATTATAAGGGAGGAAGGAGCTGTAATCCCTGTGGGAAGCCCACTGCAGTTCAGCCACCCAGCGTAATATCCTGTTCCTCCTGTTTGTTTGCACTGGTGATATTAATCTGGAAAAGGCTTTGAAACAGCTGTAAAAGCTGAGCATGAGCAATGGTGCTCCTTTGCCTGTCTCCTCATCTCACTGTTACAGTACATTACAGTTATTTGGCTGACACCGCAATCCAAAGCCTCTTACTTTTAAATGGACTGGGGCTTATCCCTCCCGTAGCTATGAGGAGTTAAGGGGCCTTGCTCTAGGGCCCGACAGCTGTAATGATCTTCGAGTGGCTGTGGAATTAACTTCCATGATAGCATGCGCTAAAGCATTAGAAAGCTTAGTGAAAGAGTGAATAAGCTGAAGAGGCAAGGTGGGCTATGATCCTGGAGTCATTTTCTTGAAAACCCCCCCGGTCTCCAAACTTTTTTTGAATAAATTGCTCTTGTTCTCAGTTGATGTGTTGTCAATTGCATCAACAGATCTTGCCCTTGTTGCTCTTGTTTATAAAGAAAGGTGCTCTGGGTGTCTGTGCACTGTCACCAGACAAGTTCATTTTATTTGCATGTATTGACATTACTGTTTCTAGAAATTAAAAAAAAAAATTAGCTTAAGGAGCCCAAAAAGTCTGGTAGAAAAGCTGGGTAGTCCTTCCGGGTCACACTTTAAATGAAGTGTTGCTCATAAAGGCTTTATACAGCATGTATAATGCCTTCATAAATCAGACATAATGTCTTCATAAATCATACACAAGTAAATATCATGCTTTGTAAATGGTGAAATAACTCATCCTTACTCAGCATGTGATGCTAGATGTGATATTACTGACAATGTCACTTAGCTAGTGGCTAAATGCTATAAAGGGTGACATTGTCAGCTAAGTGACATTGTTATTGTCACATTTGGCATCACATGCTGAATAAGGATGTGTTATTTCACCCTTTACAAAGCATGACATTTGCTTATGTATGATTTATTAAGACATTTTGTTTCATTTATGAAGGCATTATACATGCTGTGTAAAGCCTTTATGAGCAACACTTCATCTAAAGTGTGACCTCCTTCCACTAATTGAATATTCCAAAAACCTCTATTTGAGTGTTTGTGCACGAGCTCTCGCTAAATGTAAATGTGGGTGATTGATTGACAGATGAAGGAGCTGGGCGTGATCATTTATGACTGCAGCTGCTTGGCGCTGGACCTGGACAGGATATTCACCCTGTATTGGCAGCTGGAGTACAAGGATTACATCCCCTCAATCTGGTCCAAGAGGGTCACTGGCATTTACAACAAGGACAAAGCCCTTTCTCTGCTGCTCAATAACAGCAGTGCCCGAGCCTTTGTTTCGGTGAGTTCCTGCCTTTGCGCTTGCAAGCTCTATGTCCGAAATGGCCTCCTAACTACTGTTCTCAAAGTAGTTACAGGCTACTGATGAAACACACTGCCTACTTATTTTAGTACAAAATCTGATCCCAAATGCAGAATGAGTGTACTCTGTATGAGCAGAAAATAGATTAATGTGTGCAGTGTGTCATCCAGGGATTTTAAGGGCACTGTAGTCAGATAAAGTAAGACCCAATCTATTCAATACTAGGCTAGAAGCTGTTTTTGTGCTGGTGTAATGGTTTTGTCTTTGAGTTCCTCTGTCTGTACAAGTGTGTTCTTTTTGATATTTTCATTTAACTGAGCCCATAATATGACACAAGTTCCCGAGGCCAACATCCCCATATATTAGGCATGTTCTGCTAATAACTATTCGATGCACACTCTTACATTTCACTCTGAATGATTGCTTTAGTTTCAGTTTTAATTTTACTTTATGATCTCATATTAAAGGATGTACGTTAATCAGCAAAGATGTAGACATCTCTGGGAATATCACAGTCAATTATTAGAGTCATCATTATTCAGCTTTGGGCCGATAATTAAAAATGTTGAATTAGAGAACAAATTAACCATGTCTTTTGTACGTTACCCATTAAAATCTATTGATATTGAGTTCTTAAAGACATCTGAATGAGAAGATATGACTTGAGGTGGGAATGATTTCTGGGTCTATAGTTTTTACATCCATGAAACTGTTACGGTTCAGACCAGGAATCAAGTGCAGAGCCAGAAGCACAATCCAACTAGTAGCTTATTGACAGCAATATGGTAGCGATACGGGGCGGAACTGCAGGATAGGATAGCAGGGACGGAACCGTGAGGAAGATAGACAGTTCAGCACAGTAGTAATAGGCTAAACCTTGAGCTGCAATTGCTGGCCAGGCTTCTGGGAGGCTACCAGGTGTTACACTGGCTCTGCCAGTGCTGAACGGCCTCAGAGGATGGAGAAGTTGCTCGTGGAGAATGCAGTCCCAGTCCTGGCTCCAGTTCAGGATTGGAAGCTTGTTCCCAACAAACTGGACAAGGAGAGTAAACTGGATTGGTTCTCAAGAACACAGTCCCAGTCTTGGACCCTGCTTACAATTGGAAGCGGGTTCTTGATAACTTGAGTAGATGAACAGGAATAAATTTAAGTTGAGTTCATTTAAACTCTGTCCCAATCCTGGACCCTGATTATGATTGGAAGCTTGTTCCAATGAACCAAATGATTGGAATGACTTCCTAACTAGTGGTATTACACGAAGATGAACAGTTTTAAAACTAAGCATTGACTTGGTTAACTTGCATGAAAGCTAGTTTACAATCCAGCAACTTGCATGTGAATTAGAGGGCTTAAATGCTTGTTATGATGTTGTTAAGTGCACAACCGCATAGCGAGATTCAGCCGAGGGAGTAAGACACACAGGTTGTAAACTAATCACAGCACACATGCACTTAATAGACTCGCAAGCTGCTGAATTGCGAAGAGACACACAAGGGATTTACACAAGGGTTGCGAAATGAAACCATTTTTCAGAGCAGGCGGTAAGTACTCATACAGTGACACTGCTGTTTGGCTCTGAATACCAGCACAGTAGATTGGAACATGATAAATATGAGGTTGTCAGGTTTAATTTGTGGGCATTTACATACATATTATGAGAGTCGTGTTAGAATTGCGACTCATTTTATATAGTGTCACAATCAAAATACTAATGCCTACACTGTGTGGTCACCATTACAAAGATCTCTGTCTCATCCCCTTGATGTGAATGGATGCACAGTAGCAAGAGTATCTGTGTGAGTGCAGCCAAACAGAACATCACAGAATTAAATGTCAAACTTTAATGTATTTAACTGGATTGTAGCCCCCTTAGGAAATTAAACTGCAGGCCACTTTTCCCCGGGTTAATATAACAGACTGCTGTTCAAGTAAAACCAGATTTTGATGGCTTTTAAATAGTTATATATTATCACTCATT